TACTACTACTACTACTACTACTACTACTACTACTACTACTACTACTACTACTAGTAATAATAATAATAATAATAATATAGCATTCATATAGTGTATATCACCACTCGACAGAAAGCTCTGTATGCGCTGTACACCATCATTATTATTACCCCCAGGAGACCTTATAACACCCAGAAACATGTCTGGCTTCCAGGGAAACAAATGGTGCAAGCAGTCGCTTAAACGCTCAAACACTAACATATATATCTAATATTAGAAAAATCACTATGCTGGGTTGCAAAACAGTGAAAATATTGGGATCGCATCACAAGAGTACAGGAGTATCGTGGACAAGATCTACGTATTTCTGAGGGTTTTAGATCAAAAGATTGAGAACAATAGATTCATCATGCGAAGATGCACCCCGCTACGTGAGTTTGGTCACGCCACCAGTACCACGCCAGTGTGGTTCCTATCAAAATTTAATCAAGGAGATCAATAAAGCGCTTTTGTATCACTTTGCAGAATTAATTGAAGTGATTGACAAAATTCCCTGTAGTTCTGGAGACATGTAAACCTTGTAGACATCATGAAGCTAAATAACAATCACGTTTGAGCCGAACTGGGCTAATGACTACAACTGGAATAGGTGGAATACGTCTTGACTTAAACAGCCGTTTCTCTCTCTCTCTTTCTCTCTCTCTCTCTCTCTCTCTCTCTCTCTCTCTCTCTCTCTCTCTTCCCTCTCTCTTTCTCTCTCGCTCTCTCTCTCCCTCTTTCTCTTTAGCTCTCATTCGCTCTGTCGCTGTCTTTGTCTTTGTCTCGGTCTCTTTCTCTCTCTATCTCTGTCTCTCTTTCTCTCTCTCTCTTTGTGTGTGTCTCTCTCTTCTCTCCTCCATTCCGTAGTGTTTGTTTGTTTGCGTGTATGCCTGTATAAATGTTTCCACATCTGTCTGTCAGGGTTTTTTTTCTTTTTCTCTGTATCTCTTTGTGTTATTGTGTGTACGTATGGGTGTAAGTGTATGTATGTCTCCTTGAGTGTGTCCGTGTGCAAAGGGGGGTAGGGGACTGGTGGGGGTGTGTACATGTGTGTGTACGCGCTCCCACGTGTTTGCTTTAAAAACAAACTATTTTATGCTCCCTTCTTTCCGTCTATCAGTGTGCCTCTCTTTTCTCTATCTTTAGGCTTTCTTATCCTCTCCCCCCCCCCTTCCTCACCACCCCCGTCTACGTCTAATATGAAATACCTCCTTATTTTTATAGTTTCGTATTAACCGAAAATCGTCGTTTCCTAAAGAAGCTTTATCTCATGATAAATGGCTTCAGCAACATTTCGCTTCTCAAAAAAAAAAAAAAAATTTACTGGAAAGTCTAAAGTCATTTTTGTGTTAAGATGATTGAAATACAAAGAACCTGCACATAAACATTGGAAAAACGTTCCCCTTTCAACACTTAATCGGCTACCATTTCTAAAAAAGCTGTGTCTATGCTTCCCAGCTTTAGGAAAAGAAATAAGAAGCGTATTTTTTCTATCTTTCCGGCTAATATCTTGGAAAGCCATGAACGTAATCTTCTCTTGATGTTTTTGAATAACAGAGTTTATCAGGAGAAAAACAAGTGCAAAGTTTTATAGGTTTAACATTCATTGCAATTCTGTAAGCTTATTTAAGGGGCGGGACCTCCGAATTTATCATCCATCTCCTACAAGACGATGCCAAATGAGAAATTATGTGTAAAAAAGTATTTCTCTAGCAGACAACGTCATATCGAGCTGAGCCTCGAGCTCCCGATCCCCGAATATCTGAGTGACGTCGGTAGCCTAGCGCTTAGTAGAGCTGGGCAAGGAGTCGCTTTAAAAATCCGGATAATACGTTAGTGCACCTCTTCGGCAAATATATGATATGAACCACTTCGACAAATGGGTTGAAACCACTTCGACAAACGGTTAGCAAAACTTCAACAAACGGGGGTACCCACTTCGATAAACGGGTCAGGAAAGGTACTAAAGAGTCTAGATTCGGATAATGTTTCACTGATAATTATCCGGTTATCCGGACAGATTATCCGGGTTTTAAACACCTCTAGCGGTTAGGCTACCGGACCTACAATCGTATGATAACGGGTTCGTGGGATCGAGCCTCAGCTCAGTTCGACGTTGTATCCTTGGAAAAGGCACTTTACACGAAATTTGTATTTGGTTCAGTAATGGATGTTAAACTCGGAGGTCCCGCCTCTTTAGTAACCTGTTGGTGTTGACAGTGGCGTTTTAACCCATACCATTTCACCATTCTCCCCCGAATATCTGACCTCCACCAGTGATGGGGGTGAAGCGGTTAGCCGCTTCGCTGTCGAACGCAGAATACCCAGCTTGATACGCAAAAAGGGCGACACAATAATACTCTATAGAACGTCTCGATTTTTTTTTTGGG